GCGGGGAGAGGAGCGGGGGGGGGGGGCGGCTGCAGGTGGGGAAGGAGCGGCTCCTGGCTGGGGGTGCAGGGGAGGGGGATTGCTCTCCTCCTCCTCCTCCTCCGGTGCAGGACCGCTCAGCCCAGCCTTACCCGCTCCTTGCCCTGGCATTGCCCAGGGACCCCCAAATGTGCCTGTTCCCGGGGGACTCGCTGCAGTTGGACTGGACGGTCGTTGTAGGTCCCTTCCAGCTGAAATGTTCCGTTCCGTTCCCTATTAATTACGGCCTCGGAGGCGAGGTGCATCGGAGAGAAGCTGCAGCAACCAGCGCTCACACTGGGGTGACCCCCTGCCCAGGTGGGGCAAGTGCTGGCCCCGCGAGCCCCTGCGCTCGCTCGCTCCCACCCTGGGAGCCCTGCGGTGGCCGTCTGTGCCCCGGGCTCCTGCGCTGCCGCTCGGGGTCACGTCGGCCCCGCTCCCGTCCTCCCCCCCTCTCCCCCCAGGGCCGATGGCAGAGGCCGGGGGTGGGAATAAACGGGTCCGCGCTGCAGTTGGCACCCGCCCGCCGCCGTTGGCACCAGCTTTTCCGCCCCTGCGAAGCGGCCTCTGGGAGCTGCTGGTGCGGAGAGCTGGGAACGGAGATCGGAAGCACGGCCGCCGGTGCCAGCACGGACGCTCGACCCCCCGCCAGCTGGACAATGCTTCGAAAAGGTAAATATCTCAGAAACGCTCAGCGGAGGAGAGGGCGGCGGGCGGGAGCGGCAGCAGGGCTCCAGCGCCTCGCAGCCCGAGCCGGGGCCCGCGGGCGTCTGCTGCCTGTGAGGAGGAGGAGGCGGCGTGCGTGGCGTCAGAGGCACGCCGGGTCCCGTGGCTCCTGCCCTGCGGCGAGGCTGACCGTGGCTGCGGTGCACGGGGCCGCCCTGTCCCGGCACAGCCCCGGCACTGTTCCCAGGGACGCTGTCAGGGCCGAGGTCTTGAGCCGGCTGCGTCCCTGCCGCCCCGTGGCACCCGCGCCCGTGTGAGGAGGAGGAGGCGGCGTGCGTGGCGTCAGAGGCACGCCGGGTCCCGTGGCTCCTGCCCTGCGGCGAGGCTGACCGTGGCTGCGGTGCACGGGGCCGCCCTGTCCCGGCACAGCCCCGGCACTGTTCCCAGGGACGCTGTCAGGGCCGAGGTCTTGAGCCGGCTGCGTCCCTGCCGCCCCGTGGCACCCGCGCCCGGGCCTCGCTGGAGGCTGCTCCCGGTGCTGGGGGACTTCCCGTGGTGCCGCGGGAGGGACGGGGCACCCGCACCAGCCCGAACGCTGCGGGGGCCCCGCTCAGGCCACGGCGCGCCTGAGTTCGCAGAGTCGGGGGGCGGCTGGGGACAGACAGACAGACAGACAGACATCCGAGGGGCTGGTGCCTGGTGGGAGCTGGGAGGGAGAGCAGCCGCCCGTGGGACACCCCGCTCCGCTGCCCCCCCGAGCTGCCTCTCCAGGAGTGGGCACAGGTCCCCGGGGGTTCCCCCTGCCCTGGGCACGGAGCCGCCGGGGCTGAGCCGTGTCCCGTCCTGGCACCCACGGTCCCAGCCGCGGCAGCCTCCGGCAGGGAAGGGACGTCTCTCCTCGGCCCTGGTGCTGGACTCGAAGGCAAACACCACAACGAACACGCGGCCCGGGAGGGGTTGCCCGTGCCGGGGCGCCCGTGGTTCGCGTGGCTGCGTGTGCCGACTGCGGGTGTCGTCCCGACATGGAGTCCCTGGGGATGTGGCGCTCCCACCCAGCGTGGTGCTGCTCCCCGTCTCCGCTCAAAGAGGCTTCGGGGGACACCAAAGCTGCGCATCGAGGGGCTGCAGCCGGCTGCGGCCAAGCCGTGGGCTGCTCTGCGTGGGGCTTGGCCGCTCTCACCGTCTGCTGAGAGGTTTTGAGCCACGTGAAATCTTAGACGAAGGCTTTATAAATCACTGCGTTAATTGAATGGCTGCGGCAGAGCCTCAGGAGTGGTGGTGCTCCCGGCAACACCGGGCCGGCGGGTGCCTGCTCACCGCGATGTGCGGCGTCCAGCTCAGCGGGGGACCCTCGCTGCCTCTCTGCCAGCCGCTGCTCTGCTCACGCTGCCTGGCCCCTTACGCCCCACCGCACCAGGCGACACCAGAATTTCCTTTGGTTACTGGTGGTGGAATAACGGACAACGGCAGAAACAGCGAAGCCGACGCTGGACTCCGCCGGGGCTGTGAACCCCCTTCCCCATGGCCACGTTCGCTGCCCGGCCCCAGCCGTGAACTGGTGGGCGCTGGACCTGCACCCCGGCACTGCCGGGGGCTGCAAGGCCCTGGCTGGGGACGGGCACGAGCCTGGAGCCGCTGCCAGCACGGGCCGGTCACCCAGGTGCCCCCCTTGGTTTAGGGGTGCTGGGGGAGAAGCCGGTTAATTGTCCTCACGCAGCCCCTTTGCTGCCCCGAAGCCGCTCGCCCTCGGCGCCGGGTGCCAACACCTCTGGGCAGCGCAGCTCCCGCGTCCCCCTTGCCGTCCCCTCGGCCGCGCGCTGCCCGTGCTGGGGAGGGTGTCCCCGTCCCTGCAGCCCGTCCCCGGACCGGAGAAGCCAAGAAGAGCAGTGGAAGCCAGGGCTGCCCGGAGCAGGCAGGGAGAGGGGATGAGGAGGAGGCCGGGCTGCGACGCGGAGAGCTGGGTCCTGGGGATGGCAGGGGTGGGAGCAGAAGGGATGGCGTGCCAGGGCGGCGCGGTGATGCATGGCGGCGTGGAGCGGCACTGGAGTGGGCAGGGAGCTGGCACACCCCGTGCCGTGCCACGCGTGGCCCTGGCCCCGCTTTTGTGAGAGCTGAAGCTCACGAAACCTGGCTCGCTGGCATGGTGGCTCGCTCAGTGCCGGGATTTAAATGCCAGGAGCTTGTGGGAGGCGAAGGCTCCGCCACGTTCGGCATCGCAGCATCGACGGGACGGGCACCCTCCGCCTCAGGTCCTGCTCCTGCCTTCGCAGCAGTGGCCGCCGTTTCCCCTCTGCGGCCCCTTCCCAGACCCCCCGGCTGCTCCGGAGGCCGCCCCGGCCCCAGCGCCAGGCCAAGGGGTGCAGAGGGAGGCAGAGCAGTGGCAGGGTTTAGGGAGCTCGGGGTGTCGGACACGGGGCCCTGCTCCGGGCTGGTCCCCGCTGCTCCGAGCGCCGCATCCTGCGCTCCTCCCCCCTGGCTCACCCACCCCTGCCCCGCACCCCTGCCCGGGCTGTCCCCAGCCCCGCTGCCGGGCGGGTGGCAGGCCGGCGGCACGTTCCCCTCGTCCCCTCACATGGCGGATCTCTCCCTCTGCCCTTGCCGGCACCCAGACCCAGCACCCCGGGACCCTGCACCCCTTCCCGCCAGCTCCGGCGCGGCGCGGCGTGGCTTCCCTGCCGGCCTCCCCCAGCCGCTCCA